CGTTTTTTGGATTTTTTTAAAAAACTAAAAAGGAGCAATTTTTTATATTTATCAATATGGACGGAGCAAATCGGGAGCATTATTTTGAGCTATTGATTGTTCAGAAATTTTCATCTTGCGGGCTAACTTCACGAAGGTTGAAATACCTTTGTTCTTTGTAGGACGCAAGTGAGTCCAAGAGTGGCAAGGAGTGCGAGAGAGAAAAGTATACAAGCGATACCACGTGATACTTCGTCTCTCTGTCTGTCGAATGATCGACGCATGCGCAGAGAGGACGAATATTACTTTTCTACCTTTCTCTCTCGTACACATCTTGAATACAGTTTTCGAGCCAACATTCCTCTTCCATGTCTATATGTATACTCAAAACTATTGACTACCAGCGCGAGTTCTGATTGGCTTCTGCTTTTCTGTTTTCTGCTTTTCTGTCAAGGTGTGAATTCACCCTAAGGGTATATTTATAATTTATCTGCAATTTGACGTCATATTTTCCTAGTACTTTTGCGATACTGAGATAAGCCGGTCGCGCTTCTGATGATAATCTAGGATTCTACCATAAACCGGTCGTTTCTCTGATTATCTAAGACTCCAGTCGCTAGATGACAGGATCATCTTTAAGCATTTCTACAATCTCGCATGGGATAGCGCGACTGTTGCAGAAACGCATGAACGATGATATAACCAATTTGTCGAACCGGCTTTCAGAAAATTTTGAATGTTCATCCATGCACGACCGGTTGGTAAATGCGAGTGTTACAAGTATATTCGTATGTACGTCACGACATTATTTGTTATGTATTCGCGAGGATTTTTGTCGCATTCGTATCGTATCGATTCGAGAGCAGCTAGCTACGCATAATACGAAATTTTGCATAATTAAATCGATGGGAGTTTAGTACGAGGCGAGTCAGTCTGTGGGGGGTCTAAGATCTGCAATCATTTCTTAACGTCACAAATATAGTGTCACGAAACAGTATAACGTCCATTTTATCTTCATTTAATCTTACTCATTCTATTCATTTCCACTCCTTTATGCAGATGATGCTATAATTTCCTATATATGAACGCTCCGACACGTCAGACGTTGCCACTTGCCAGTATGTGAGAAGCAAATACGGAAGCAGGACAATTAATAGCGGAATAGTGGTTGCTCTCCGTAATTTTAAGTAAAGTATTTCAAGGATAAGTAAATTATGGTCAATATATATTAAATATTTAATTTCCGAGGATACTGCTCATCTTGCAGATGCTGGTCAGTAAGCCATTCTTTGTCTTACACAATGACCGCTAGCGACGTACAAGGCTCCTTAAAGGAGGCTCTTTACGAGACGTTAAATGGGATTTTGTCGCCGCATTACGAAACTCGTAAGGCGGCGGAGCAAAGGATTCAAGCTTTGGAGGTGACGGAGGAGTTTGGTATACACCTGACAGAATTTGTTGTTGATCCCAATGGTCATTTGCCCATCAGGCAATTAGCCTCCGTCTTGTTGAAGCAGTACGTCGAGACGCATTGGTGCTCGTTGGCCGAAAAGTTTCGTCCGCCGGAGCTTAACAATGCCGTTAAAGAAAGAATTAAAGAGTTACTTCCCTTGGGACTCCGAGAATCTATCAGTAAGGTAATGTGTTCCAAGAATTTAACTGAGGATAATTTTTTGTGTAATCCAATCTGTATTATTACGTAATGGCACAATATTTTATTTCACATATAGCTTGCAAGATGTTAGATAGTACTCTTGTCTTAGGTACGAACTGCAGTGGCCTATGCGATATCCGGTATAGCACATTGGGACTGGCCTGAAAATTGGCCTGGATTGTTCGATGTTCTCGTAAGTTGTTTGAGAGAAGAAAGCGAGTATGCTGTTCATGGAGCGATGAGAGTGTTAACGGAATTTAGCCGGGATCTGACGGACGCTCAGTTGCCTAATGTGGGACCTGTTATTCTTCAAGAGATGTACAGAATATTTCAAAGTGAAAATGTAAATTTCGCAGAAGCTTGATATGTCACTCCTATATTATTTCTATTCAATATCATTTTCTTGCCGTGTTTCTAGCTTCGTGTTTCTTGCAGCAGTATTCGATTAGAACGCGTGGTCGTGCAATTGAGATCTTTATAACAATTACAACTTTGGTTGCTCACACAGGAGCATATGAGAAGGGATTTATAGAGCAGTATTTGCAGCCAATCATTCCTATGTTCTGTGAAAAGTTTGTTGAGTGCCTCAGAGTGCCTAATGGCCAAACTAGTGACTGTGGATTCAAAACAGATATTATTAAAGCTATAAACTGTCTTGTTACGAAATTGCCCAAATATATATCGAATCTTTTACCTCAAATGCTGCCACCTGTATGGGAAACTTTATGTCAAAGTGCAAAGACTTATCAAGAAATGACAGTCAATGCCGATGAAGATATCAATGATAAAGACGTCGATTCTGATGGTATGTTATTAATATAATATAGTACATAATTTCAGGGTTGGCAAGTAACGCGTTACTTGTAACGTCGTTACCGTTACAATTACTTTTTTTCAGTAACGAATGAATAACGACGTTACATTTCCTGAGTAACGTTAACGGTAACGCAGTTACATTTTTTGGATAACGGTAACGATTTGATTAGTTACTTTTATCGTTACTTTATTTCTAGCATCGCGTATAGATTGGGGTGCGTTTGTTTCCCACTTGAGTGCTGCTCAGACATCATTTTG